CCCTGTCCCCTCTTGGAAAATGGGAGGCAGGGCTAAAAGTTCCAAGTGTCTAATCCGGTGACCAGCCCCCATCCTGAAGCTAAGTGTTGCCGCATGAGAACAAAGACACTCAATCACCCAGGTCATCCCAATGGATCTAGGAGCTCTATGGAAGTAACTGGTAGCAAAGACCAAATATTAAGGGAAAAAATATGCTCCTAACACTCCTAACACTTAGGCAATTACAAGGCTTTTATGAGCTTTTTTGTCAAGAACCAAGAGCAGAAACCAAATATCTATTTCTAAGTCTGTCACAATTTCATTCTTTTCTGATGTAAGAGGCATCTCATGTGCTACTAGTACTTTGCTTCTCTACCTCCCAGTTTGATGCTCTCCCTTCCCCTCCTCCCTGCAGTGAGGTGTCCCTGAGCCCCTGTGCACCATGGGAATGGAGCCTGGCACTGCCCAAGCCACTGAGCCACTTATTGGTCTCTTCAGCTCTCCCTCACAGATAGACCTCAGGGACAGAAAGCCCTGGAACAAAGGCAGGGTGGGGGAAATAGAGGTGCCTGCTTCAGGGTCCCTCACACTGCCCTCCACAACCTCCCCTCCCCTCCACCATGTCTGCCAAGCTGTTAGGAACTGCCAACCCACGCAGCAGGTGCCCAGCCATGGAATGAAGGAGGAAGCTGCCCCAGAAACTTTGTGGTTGGGAGTATCTGAGGGTTGTTCCCGATATAAGAGGAAGGAGAGGAATACTAATCCTGCCTGTGCTCTGCGGGTTTGTGTTTACTCTAGCCAAACCCGCCTTGTTTTCCCCCCAACATGCCATCAGGCCATCACCATATCCACTGAGACCAACAGCCTGCCTGGCTGCACACGTGCCCTGCTTCTGAATCCACCAGCCACTGAAGCCGAACAGCCACCCACCGCCAACCTTCCAGCAACAACCAGCCACTCACATCTGCAGAAAGCTTGTTTCCTTGGTGTAGGAAAACAACCTTTCCTGGGATTTTTTAAAATGTGTTTAACTCTATGTAAACAATTCTGGAGTTCTATGCAAATGAAGCAAGTGTACTGGAGGGTGTTTTCAGCACAAGCCCTTGGATCTTTTGCAAATCAATTTCTCAGCTTCCATGCATTTCAGCTCTTCTGATGAGGTTTAACATCTGCCATGCTTCTGCAGGGTTCTAGGCATTTCTGCATCAAACTTCCTGCAGGAAATCATTAGCCTTTGAGTCTGGGGTGCAGGAACGTGCAATGGTTACATGGTTACAAAGTCTTCAGTGTTGCCTTCAGTTTGTGGAAAAAGAAAGGACTTATAACATTTCTTTATAAGGAAGACTGATGGAATGTCCTGAGCTCTGTTTTATCTTTTATGTCCTGCTTATACCGGAGACCAATATCTCTGCTGGGTTCTAGGGCAGGGTTCAGCATGGCTGGCCCTCACAGGGGACCTACTATGTGCACAGCCCTGTAAGCACACTTAATTAAATGCTGCGGGAATACAGAGGAGAAGAAAGAGACTATCTGGTTGGGGATGGTGGATGGATATGCAAACCAGTGACCAGGATGGAAAGCAGCATGAAATCAGCATCATTTCAAGTAAGAAGCTCCATGAAATGGTTTATTGAATCTATCCTGGTGCAAACTATGTGGAGAAGGCAGCATTCCTAGTGAATCTGGAAAACCATTGAGTTATCAGGTAGAGCCAGAGCAGGAGCCCTCAACCTTCAGTATTTATTAATAATGACATGGGGGGCGGTTATTCCATTTCTGGGAATGTGTCACAAGAAACCCAAACCACTAATTCCAAAGAATATCTACCCACTTTGTTCATTGCAGCATTATTTGTAATAGCCAGGTCTTGAAACAGGCCAAGTGCCCATCAGTAGATGAGTGGGTAAAAAAGCTGTGGTACCTTCACACAATGGAATATTACTCAGATATTTTTTAAAAAGGAAATCTTAGCTTTTGTGACTGCGTGGATGGGCCTTGAGATGATTGTGCTAAGAGAAGTAAGCCAGTCAGAGAAAGACAAATACCATATTTCACTTATATGTGGAATCCAATGAACAAACACTAGCAAACAAAATAGAAACAGACTCACAAATACAGAGAACAAACTAACAGCTATCAGAGGGGAAGGGGTTTGGGGGGTCTGTGTAAAAAAGGTGAAGAGATTAAGCAAAAACAGCAGCACGCAGACAGAGACACAGACAACAGTATGGTGATTACCAGAGGGGAAAGGGGATGAGGGAAGAGAGTAGAGGTATGGGGGGAATAAATGGTGATGGAAGGAGACTTACTTGGGTAGTGAACACCAAATACAATATACAAAATACAGATGTTGTATTACAGAATTGTTCACCTGAAACCCATGTAATTTTATTAACCAATGTCATCCCAATAAATTAAATTTAAAAAAGAATCACATGGGTGGGAAGGGCAGACTTCCTTTAGAAATATAGCAACTATAAGAGATGTATTCTATCAGTTAGAGAAGTGCCTACACAAAGCTCTCAAATCTGCCTGGACCTTAGAGCACCCCAGAAACTCCTCGAAACTGCAGGTGTCTTTCGCGATGAGCAGATGAGCAGGTCTCAAACATTTTGCTCTCAGAATTCTTTTACTTTCTTATAAATTAATTGAGGACCCCAAAAAGCTTTATTTTAATATGGCTTATTGAAGTGTGAATAAATTAAAGTAATTAATTAATTAAAATGTACTTATTATATTAGAAATTAAAACTAAGAAATTTTAAAATAGTTACTAGTCATTTAAAATAACAATAACGCACCATTACATATCCACAGAAATAATCTTATAATAAAAAAATAACAGTGCTTTCCAAACTGAGAAAGTTGCTGAAAAGGTTGGCACTATTTTACAAATTTGTGAACCTCCTGAATGTTTGGCTTTCTGGGAAACAGCTGGATTTTCTGCTCCTTTAGTCAATCTGTCAGTCCCTGGTCAGCAAACTGCATCTTGCGAGCCACATGGCCCCTTGAGTGTGGCTCTTCCACAAAATACCATGGCTTGGGTGAGTCTATTTGAAGAAGTGGCGTTAGAAGAAGTTAAGTTAAAAAAAAAATTGGCTCTCAAAAGAAATTTCAATAGTTGTACTGTTGATATTTGGTTCTGTTGAATAATGAGTTTGCTGACCACTGTTAGTCCATCACAAGTCAGATAGCCTCTAGAAACCTCCTCTGTACATTCCTGAGAGGATGAAAGAGTAAAAAGCAAACTAATTTGTTATAAAATCAGTTTGCATTTTGAAGATCTCCTGAATCAGTCTTTGGGACCTCTGGGTACCTCCAGAACACACTTTGAGAAACAAGGTTCTCTAGATTTCATAGTCTGAAATGCGGCTGGGCCATGAGATTCAGAGCCAAGGTTGGAGGACCAGGAGATGATACCCATCTGAAGCCCTGAAATATCAAGTATTATACAAATATAGAAAGATTAGAAAGATGATCAAGAACTCACTCTGTTTAGGACCAGGATACAGAATCAAAATTAGGTTAAACAGCAATTGTGGGTAAAGATGAATGAGAAAAATGTCAGAAAATACCTAAAATGTGATTTCTTTACCTTTTGCTATAGAGTTCACAACACTGAGTGCATATCAATATAGGCCCCTTTGACCCATTTTCAAATCATTTTTTACTTTTCAGTTACAGCTGACATACATTATTATATTATCCTCAGGTGTACACCCCAGCGACTGAACATTATATAACTTACTAAGTGATCAACCCACAAAGGATCTCACCCATCTGACACCATACATAGTTATTATAACATTATTGACTATATTCCATATGCTGTGTCTATTTTGTAACAACCAATTTGTACTTCTTAATGTTTTCACTTATCCCTCAACCCCCTCCCATCTGACACCTGTCAAAATGTTCTCTGTTACCATGAGTCTGTTTCTGTTTTTGCTTGTTCATTTACTTTGTTTTTTAAGTTCAATTGTTGATAGGTATGTATTTATTGCCATTTTATTGTTCATAATTTTTATTAAAAAACACCATCTTTTAAAACATCAGAAAGTGTGATTTAAAATACAGCTATCTTGGGCCTGTCTTTAAAAGATTCTGAATTAGAATGGTATAGAGGCTAAGCCAGTGATCTGCAAAGTGCGGCTTGTGAGCCAACTTCAGCTCTTTGGTCCCTGGAGTGTGGCTCTTCCACAAAATACCACGTGCAGGCGCATACATACAGTGTAATTGAAACTTCGTGGCCCATGTGCAGAAGTCAGTTTTCAGCTCTCAAAAGAAATTTCTATCATTGTACTGTTATATTTGTCTCTGTTGACTAATGAGTTTGCCAACCACTGGTGGTTCTGTATAGGAAATATATAAATGTGTATTATATAGTTTATACATAATGAAAAGTCTAGTCAATTATATTAAAACAGCACTCATTTTTATTCTTATTCCCAAACAAAAATCTTTTCTTAAGATTCTGCCCATATCTAGCTTTTTAAAAATCATGTACCCATAATCTAAGTAGAAAGATACCTAACTTTTTAAAAATCATGTACCCATAATCTAGTATTACAGGCACAATACCTACATTTTGAACACGGGAATAAGGGCTTTTCATAGATTTTATTTCTGTAAGACCTAACTAAATTAAAGGGATAGGAAATGCCACTGCTATTCATAGACAAATAATGGATTCCTTGTTTACATAATAAACTTTTAAAAGCCTGTGCTCCTAATGGAAACTCATTGTTACTGAATAAAAATCCTCTTAGGGAGGAAAAAAGTACCTTCATATATAATCTACAGTGGGGATGCAAATTGTAGAGAAACAGACTCCAAGGATTTGCATTTAATAAAATCTCAAGCAAGTCATTTCAGAAGCATCACTACCGTGTACAGAGGCCGTTTCCTTCAGGATCAGACTGACTCTGTAGGAGGCCAGGACCTTTACCCAGGAGAGCACGCTGCTCACTCCCCAGAAACCCTGCATCCCGTCAAGAAGGAAATTCACCAGAACCATCAAGAATGGAAGGTGGTGAGTCAGCGTTGATTTTTACATTTTGTATAAAGCTCTTAATAAACCTTATGTTTATTTTGTCATCATAAATGAAGCTAAGAACCAGAAGCAATATCCTTAGCCCTGACTGGAACATATACAAATATGAAAAACATACACCAGACACCAACAATTTTGAACTCTTGATAACATTTTCATAATTCTAGTCACATATAATTCTTAATTGTTAGATTTCCTTTGGCTGCATAGAGTTTAGGTTGGTATTTATTCTGAAAGATCAACTCCATTGAACATTATTTTTATGAAATGAGGACTTGGATATGAAAGCATTCTTTTTCAGTCTAGTAAAATTTTATGTTAAATGTAACGATTTCCAATAAGCCCTTTGCTATACGGAAAGTGCAAGAGAAAGAGCCACATACAGAACTTGAAATATCATTTACTCATGTATCTTGCTTTAATTCTTAAACTAAGGATGAAGGTCATCCCACATGCACGTAAGGGAGAACCTGAGCCCTTAATTCATGAATTCAAACTTTATACAGATCTTTCTCAGCTTGTTCACTCTGAAGACACAGATGCTAGTGTCAGCACCGAGGAAAACCCAACCAAATTTGAGATGAAAAAGTGAGCATTTTAAATGTCAGTAATGACAAGAGCTATTTCAAATATGCCTTGGGCAGTACCTTGGAATAAAAACTAATATTATTTTAAGGCACCACACTCTTCAAAGTCTGATCTCAAAAGATAAGGAGACAGCCAGAGCCACACAAGCTCCTAAGACCTGTAGCATGGAACTGGTTATTGGCAGAATTGCTAAGTTTCTGGATCCAGCTATGAAGCTCTAAAGGTGCAGAGGGAGGCTGGTGGGGTTTTGGAAGGGGCTGTGGATGGATGCCTGCTACATGGGCTAGACAAACAGACAAAATCCAACAGGTTAACTAATTTGGCTTCACTTCCTTAAAAGTTTTGGTCTTTATTTCAAAAGCAGTATATATTATTTTCTGCTCAGTAATTAATATTTGGAACATTTTTTAGCCACAACTGGTTTGGCTCAGTGGATAGAGCGTCAGCCTGCGGACTGAAAGGTCCCTGGTTCAATTCTGGTCAAGGGCATGTACCTTGGTTGTGGGCACATCCCCAGTGGGGGGTGTGCAGGAGGCAGCTGATCGATGTTTCTCTCTCATCCATGTTTCTGACTCTCTATCCCCCTCTCCCTTCCTCTCTGTAAAAATAAAAATAAATAAATAAATAAATAAAATATATTTTTAAAATATTTGGAACATTTCTAGAGAAGTTGCTGAATGTGCCTTTCCTTGTGTCCTTTTGGACATTCCCCATAATAACACTAAAACGATACCATTTCCCAGATCAGATGTGGAAGCACAGACGCTGAGACTGGTGAAGGTAGACCTAGCACTATTCTTCCTGGGTGGCATCTGCCTCCCTGTGAGGGGTCTGCCCCTCAGCAAGGCAGGCAGAGCTGGGCTAGTGGCCCAAGAGAGCTCCACAGTGCCAGGGCTGCTCCTGAGCCAGGTGGTGCACCAGACACACTGCATTGCCACTGGACTGTCCGGACCTCCTTCTGGGCACTTTCCTGACAGACAGAAAAATAAAGCCAACATGGGTGCTGTTCACCAGTAACTCATCACTTAGGATTTTTATGCTGCTCTGTCTTGAGTGAGAGAGTACCTATATTCCATACCTTGAGAGTCTACTGTGCAGAGATAATTTATCTAGTGTCTTTTTTTTTAATCCTCACCTGAGGATATTTTTATTGATTTTAGAGAGAAAGAAAGGTAGAGAGAGAGAGAAACATTGATGTGAGAGAGAAACATTTGTTGCCTTCCATATACACCCCAACCTGGATGGAACCCAAAACCTCGGTATATGCCCTGACCAGAAATCAAGCCCACCACCTTTTCTGTGAATGTGGTGATACTCCATGCAGCTGAGCCACCTGGCCAAGGATCATCTATTATCTTATTCTGGCATTGTCTAATGATGTAACTCAAAATATAAGTTATTATTTTCTAAAGTTATGAGATCAGTTTTTGTTTCATTCTTTTTCTGTTTTGAACTATCTCTTTTTTCTTTTCCTATGTAACAAGCACCTACTTAGATACTCTAAAATTTTGAAAGAAAGAAAATATATTCCAGAGAATGTCATAAAAAATAGAAAAATAAGGATGTACTTCAAATACCATAAATGCATTCAATATTTAATAACAAAAAATGGTTTAGGAATCACATACATTTAAAATATTAAACTTCAAAATATATGAATTTTATTTGATTGCTGTTTCACATCAATGTTTCAAATTTTTTTAATTAATTTTAATTTAAAAAATAATATTAAGTTAACCACACCATTATATTTACTGTGGGCCAAATTATTCAGCAAAATAGATAGGAATAAGGAGAGGACGTGACTTAGACAATTGGGTGCATATACATATCACAATACCACATTACATTTTCCCCCCCAAATTATAAAGAACAAATAGACTCTTATTGATAAATTTGTGTTGTTTTTTTTTTCCTCCGGAAACTTGTCTTTGTTTTCTCAACAACTGATCTGAATGCAAGCTTGTGCCTAGAGTATTTGAATAACTACTCAAGTGTCTCCAGGTTTGTACAGGTGTGTAGTCTTTAAATAGACACAAAACACAAGGAAAATTCTGTTTGGGAGTAGGAATACTGGTAACATTTTTAAATTCTAAATATCACTGCGCTCCAAAAACAGAGGGCAAGGTAGTTAAGCCACTTTGAGAATTCTCAAAAACATGAAGACTATTCCAGATGATAGTTGAAAGAATTTGTACTAGGTCCTATTGCTTAGTTAAACTCTATTTTAATTCACCTTAGGTGCTGTGGGAAATGTTGGCATTTGCTTTTTTGTACCACTGCTTCAGAACGTGATGACTTATCCCCACTGCCACTGTTTTCTCACAGGCAGAGAAAGGGTTTCGTTGCCACTTCTTATAAAACTGCTCCCGTGCGCTCAAAATGATCTGCACCTTTGCAAACCTGGGGTCTTTCTGGGCCTTCATTTTTCTTAGTTTCTCTAAAGCACTTTATTTCCTCCACCAGCTTTTACTGAGCTCCTACTAGTTATTTCTCTTTCCCTATGGGCCTCTTTCTTTCATTTCTCTGATTCTATCCTAATGGTACATTACTTATGTTTCTGATCTCCCCCATACCCCCTGCCTTCCCCTGAGAACCAGAACTGTAGCTTTTCCCCATACTCATTGATTGGATTTCTATTCCTCTGTTGCTACAAAGTCTTCCTTGGAGAACTTCATTTTCATAGCTTTCATTACCATACATTTAATGGTGTTTCTTAGATGTACAGTTCCAATCCTTGTCAAAGTTCCTGTCCTATATATTTATTTTATTTTATTAAGCCACCACAATTATACCAGTTCTTCACCCTTTCTGCACAGGCCTTGCTCCTTCCTGCCTCTGCTTTTGCTCATGCCATTCCTGATGTCTAAAACATTCTTCCTCCTCTTATCCCATCAACATCCTTCTAAATCCAACCCAAGTCCCACCCCTTCCCACAAAACATCTATCAACAATCCAGAGTGTACTCTTCCCCTACCTTTCACGTGTGAATGTCTTTATTTCTCTCACTAAAATAGGATCTCTTTGAGGACATCTGTTCTATGTTCTAAACTTATTTTGCATCCCCTGTGGCATATAGCCCCATGCAACAAGTCTGTGCCAACTGGTACGTAAGACTGATTGTGTTATGATAAAACTTCTGAAGTGTTGATCTGGTTGTTTACCATCCCATGAACTTTATCCCTCTATTCATTGTTATGTGGTTATTTGTTAAACTTATTGAGAATAGGTGTAATCCCCCTAGGCTTTTTTGGCATACACATAAAGTATAAGTAGATCATTCAGATTGGAATCAGCAATTAAAAGGCCTTCAGAAAAAAAGTGAAGCAAACACACAAAGGATCCAGCCTGGACCTCTTCAGCTTCCACCTCCTCCTCTCAGACCTTATCCACACCTGCCATCAACCAGTCAGGTGTTCTCCTTTATGCTTAGCCAGGATGCCTCCATTAGAGTTGGCCCCCACCTCCGCAGGAACCTTATCCAAAGTCCTTATTCTTATGTATGCCTGTGGTTCTCATCAGAATCACCAGGAGGACTCATTAAAAAATGGATTTCTGAGCCCCCGCCGCTAGAGTTTCTGATTTGGTTCATCTAGAAGAGAGCCTGAGAACCTGCACGCTGTCCCAGCTTCTGGCTGTGCCCTTGCTGCTGGTGCGGCAATTACAATAAGGTGACCAGACATCCCGCTTTTGGTGGGACAGTCCCGATTTTTAACCATTTGTCCAGCGTCCCATGGCGTTTTAAAAAAAAGTCCCGATTTTAAAAATCTAACACCAACACTTGGAGGATCGGATCGCTCGAGTATATTCTCACATAGGCTTGTCTATCTGGCTTTGACCCCTGCCTGCTTGAGACATTTAGTACTTGAATTGCTCTTCTACACTAGGCAGCTTCCAGGGCCACTAAAGTGGAGGTGCCTTGGTCATTGAGCCCCTCCCCCTTTCTTTACTCCAGTCTCAGAGGTTGAGAACCAACTTGTCCCTTGATCTCAATTTCTTGCTTCTTTTTCAAAACGTTCTTCCATCATTTTCTCCCTCTTTTCCTAAACCTTTAGTCCTTTCCTCTGTCCTCCTTTAATATCCTCTAATCTCTGCCACCCATCTATAATAATAAAAGTGTAATATGCTAATTAGACTGAATGTCCTGGATGACCTTCAGGAAGAAGCCAAGGTCCTGGGTGCCAGAGGGAAGCCAGTACTGGCAGCTGGGGGGAAAGAAGGCTTACTCTTGCATGAATTTTGTGCATCAGGCCTCTAGTAAGTACATAAATGGATATAAAAACATAAACAAATGTCTCCTTGACTCTGTAGTTTTCTCCAGTTAGCATCCAATCTCTTGCTTCCCTTTCTCATTAAAACTTCAAGAAGTCATCTCCCTCCCTGTCTCCACCTCTTCCCTTGACATTATTATCTATAAGGAGGAGAGTATTAGGAGATGAGATCAGAGGTATCATGGAACAAAGTTCTAGCTACCCTACTCTCCCAAAATTGCCATTGGGGAAGTCTAACACCAACCACTGCATTGAAAATATGCTTTGCTGTCTCCATCTTCCTGGATCACTCCAATGCATCTCATACCTTTTCCTTCTTACTTAAAATCTCCTCCCCTAAATTCTGTGGTTCCTATTCCCTTAGTTTGACCTGGTTCTTCTCTAAACATTTCTTCTTTATTGAGTTTTCTCCTCCTCTAAAACCCTTCAAATGAGATGTTCCATTGGACCATCTTTAAGCATTTATTTATTATTTATTTATTTTAGGCATTAGCAGTGCTGTCTGCACTAGATGTTCACTGGACAGTAGCGCAACCCCAAGAAAAGGATGGTTCCATCTTTAACCATTTAGTCCAGTGTTTTAGGAATCGGTGTTACAGGAGTTCCCAGGATATTGATCCTCTCAGCCCTCAGCAACAGCCTGGCCTGTTTATTCCCATATGCCAGACCCATATTGTTATGTGTGCCATCATGTGATTCTACCTTTTAAACACTCTCCCCAAGAGATTTCATCTTCTTTCCTGGTTTCATTACCATCAACATCATGATCGCTCTGGGCCTTCTGTTCCTAGACCAACCCCGTGATGACAACTTGAGAATGGCCCTTGGATCTTTCCTCTCCTTTCCCTCCCACATACAAATCATTGCCAAATATGTCTGCTGCTTGTCCTCCTATCTACCGCTCCTCAGACCGCATTACCTCTTGCCCGAATTATTCTAGAAACCCCCTGCCTGGTTTCCCTGAGGTTTTGTGATTCTTAAGTCCATTCACACAGCTGACAGAAAAGTCCATCTAAAATACAAATCTAACCACAATACACCCATGCTTAAAACCCTGCAATGGCTCCGTGTCGAATAGGATGAAGCCCAAACTCCTTCACATAGAAGAAACTTCATGACTGAGCCCTACTCATTAGTTCCCCAGGTTCAGTTCTTGCCATATCCTCCCTCACACACCGCTGTGTTCTTGCCTCCAGGTTATTGCCCATGCTGTCTCTATGCCTGAATGTTCTTGCTCCTTTTGCCATCACCACATACCCCTTACCTCAGCTCAAGTGTCACCTTGCTTTCCTTAACACCCTCGCAAACTCACAAGGAAATAACACATTCTGTGTTTTTTTCTGAATATCTTAGGCATATTTTTCTTGTAATGCTTAGCATATTTGCATTATACTTACTTTTTTTTAGTATTTTTCTCCTCCCACTTGATAGCATGTTCTTTTCTATTCCCTGTTCTGAAATGCCTGACATGGAAAATATTCAATAAATAATTGATGATGAGTAAATACAGCCTTAGGCTTTTCTAAAAGAAAAGCCATCACATATATCTCTAGGAACAACACTTAGAACAACCTTTGGAAAAAATCATAAGATCATTAAGCTTTAAATTTGAGGCTGATTTAAAAGATATACTTTATGCCTCTTTAATTAAAAGATATATAGTCTCATCCATGCTATTGCAAATAGTAAGATTTATTTATTTTTTATTTATTTTTTATTTATTTTTACCACAGTGTAGAATTCCATTGTGCAGATGTACCACAGTTTTCTAATCCACTCATCTGCTGTTGGGCACTTAGGCTGTTTCCAAATCTTAGCTAGTGTAAATTGTGCTGCTCTGAACATAAGGATGCATATATCCTTTTTGTTTGGTGTTTCTATTTTCCTGGGATACGTTCCAAGAAATGGGATCACTGGATCAAATGGGAGTTTCATTTTTAATTTTTTGTGGAAACGCCAGACTGTTCTCCACAGTGGCTGCACCAGTCTGCATTGCTACCAACAGTGCACCAGGGTTCCTTTTTTCCACATTCTCTCCAGCATTTGTCATTTGTTGATTTGTTGATGATAGCCATCCTGGCAGGTGTGAAATGGTACCTCATTGTTTTGATTTGCATCTCTAGGATGAATAGTGACTTTGAGCATGTTTTCATATGTCTCTTGGCCTTCCGTATGTCCTGTTTCGAAAAGGGTCTATTTAGGTCCTTTGCCATATTTTGATTGGATTGATTATCTTCCTTTTATTAAGTTGTATGAGTTCCCCATAAATTTTGGAGATTAAACCCTTATCAGAAGTAACATTGACAAATATTTTCTCCCACGTAGTGGGTTTTCTTGTTGTTTTGTTGATGTTTTCTTTTGCTATGAAAAAGCTTTTCATTATAATGTAGTTCCATTTGTTTATTTTCTCCATTTCCAAGAGCATGGATGGAACTAGAGAGCATTAGGCTAAGCAAAATAAGCCAGTCAGAGAAAGATAAATATCACATGATCTCACTCATTTATGGAATAATGAACAACATAAACTGATGAACAGAAATAGAACCAGAGACCTAGAAGCATCAAACAGACTATACTACCTATGAGGGAAGGTCGGGGGTGAGGGGGTAAAAGATCAACCAAAGGACTTTTATGCATGCATATGAGCATAACCAATGGACACAGACAATAAACAGGGGTGAGGGCTTATGCTTGGGAGATGGGGTCGCAGGAGAGAAGTCAAGGGGGGGGAAAGAAGACTCATGTAATACTTTAAACAATAAAGAATTTTTTTTAAAAAGATATATAGTCCAACTCCTGTCAAAATTAGACCCAAGGGACCTTTTAAATAACTTTGTTTTGCTGAGACCAGATTGTGTGTGCTTTTATTTACATTAAACAATATATTGTCTTGGAACCTATATATTATTTCTTCTTCATGAGGCCAAGAGATGGTGATTTTCCCAAGTCAGTGACTAGTATGTGGTTGTATAGCACTGACTCATAGGCCAGCAGCCTTTGTACAAATGCATCATTCTGCCCCTGGTTTGGGTTTGGTTTCCTCCTTCCTTCACTTCATCTTTTTTGCGATGAGATTTCACTTATTAGTCAAATATATGCTAGATTATTTACAAGTACAACCAGATTGGAGAATATTTCTGGTTATATATCTAATACATATATATGTTAGTATGTACTGCCATATACACTGATGCTGAATTCTACGCCGGCTGAAATTGCTGATAAGCCAGCAAGAGCTTAATGAATCAAAACCATCCAACCTTCTACAGAACAATTTCAGAGTTAAAAAATGTCTTATAATTCCTCTAGTTAACCTCCATTTAAGAGCTTAAATACTTCTATAATCATCCAAGCAAAAAGTTCTCCAGTCTTTGTTTGATGACCCTTAGTAATTAGGAAGTCACTATCCCCAAAAGCAATGTTCCCAATTTCAGAACCTTGGAGGAATATTTTCTTTAAACCTGTTATCTCTCTGTCATTTCATCAGGGTAAAATGGCAAATTTTCTGATTGTTAGAGCTACAATCTGACCTCAGTCTAGATCCTAGCCACTAATTCTGCTGATTAGTAGCTATGAGACCTTGGCAAATCACTTAGCCCCAGACCACAGCTTCTTCATCTGTAAAATGGATCAAATGAAATAATACATGCACATTGTCCAGCACCATAATCTAGTTGATAAGGACATGTGGTAAGTGCTCAATAAATATTTTTAAATGAATAAACAATTCCCTGAGCCCTAGCCCAGTTTCAAAGCAACAACTCCTGAAGATGTATAACTGTATTTTCAAAAATAAAAAATACATAAATTAGTACAGAGAACAGAATCAAATGACTTCTTCTTAATAACATAATCTCCCTGCCCTAGCCTGGTGTTTCTCTGTAGCTGGAGCATAGGTCTGCTCATCAGATGATCACTGTTTTGATTCCCAGTCAAGGGTTGCAGTCTCTGATCAGTGTGTCTAGGAGGCAACCAATTGATGTGGCTTTCTCTTTTCTCCCTCCCTTCCACTCTCTCTAAAAATCAATGGGAATATCCTGAGGTGAGGATTAACAACAACAAAAAAGAACATAATTTTCCTGAAACAGTCTAATTGATCTGATAACCCACAGCAAGTAGGAATGTGAGCCAGCAGGAATGTTTTCCCTCTGTAATCTTAATCATGCAAATCCAACTTTGCACCATGTAGTTGTATCTAACCCTTGATCTTGCTATTAAAGCATAAATTTTAAGTCTTCCTTAAGTAGATCTTGGCAAACCAGAGTACAAATAAGGAGACACTTTGAAGAATTGTTGTGTAGAAATTGGAATAGTGTTTCTTCCACTTAATCAGAATGTGGCTGGGTTTCCATTCAGGGCCAGGAGATGGGACTAGATGAACCCTGTGAAGCCACTTCAAATTCAATTCTATCACTCTAACAAGAAAACAGCATTACAATCATCAGGTCTGAATACGTCTCTCTAGTTGTTAACCTGATTACTCCACCCACATTTGATTGTTACTATTCCATTTGCTTAAGTCTCAGGAGACTACAGCAAACGAGTGTATCAAGGCGTGAGAGTGAAGCACACAGTCAAAGATCTGCTGGCAGAAAAACGATCCAAGCAGACAAGTAACTCAAGATTCAGTGTAAGTCTCATACATTCTGAAGTCTTTTTTGGGGGAGTGGGGGTAAGTCTTATATTAAGATGAGTTGTCTTCCCTCTTCCTTTATTTACACAGCAACCTCTCACCTCTTGAGTCTGATATTTTCTATTGAAAATATTTCCTTCTACTGGCACTTACAGTATAATTACTATTATTAACACCATGGCACATCTGTCAAGCTATTTCAAGAGCTCTGCTCACTGTTTGGCTGACTACTGCAGCTGGCAGCTGTGAGAGGAAACTGTGCTCTGCCTTTTCAACCCCCTGCCCACCCCGTCATGAATCAACAAAAGCTCAGTTGGTGAAAATAATCACATGTTATTCTAAGCCTGATAGAGACAACTTAGAAGAATCCTCTCTGTAACATGCAAAGTCAGATTTTTAAATCCTAGTGGGACTTAGCCATAAGAAAAGATGAAATACTGCTGTTTGCAACAACATAGATGCATCTTGAGAATATCATGTTAATAGAAATAAGTCAAACAGAAAAAGTCAAGAACCGTATGATTTCATACATATATGTGATATAACACTGAAAGCAACAAGTCAACAAACAAACAAAAACTCATAAACACAGACAACAGTACGGTAGTAACCAGAGAGAATGGGGGTGAGGGGGTGAGGGGTAATAAAAGATAAAGGGGATCAAACAGATGCCAACTAAAGAGTTCTGAGGTTGGATCACTATAATATGTAAATTATGTATTATAGAATTGTACATTAAAACCTATATAAGTTTATTAACCAAGTCACCCCAATACATTCAATAAAAAGTTTAAAGAAAAATCCTAGTAGGAAACATCTGAGGTCTAACACCCTTAACTGCCAACTGTGTCTCCATAAATAGCTATGCTCTGTGCCTAAAATGTTTAAGTAGTGGCATTAATTCTTAAAAAAAAAAAAGATTCAAGAATGGAAAAGTATTTGGCTATCAAGACAGTATATAGTCATTATCTATTAGGTAAAATACAACAACATAAATATCAAGATCTGTCAAGGATTGCTGGGTACAGGACACAGAACAGATGACCAGGAATAACAGAGGAAGCATGGACAGCACCTCACTCAGGGACTGGCACACAGTGGGCACTGGTCTCCCAGGTGTCTTCTTTGAATGTCAGCACCATGCCCAACACTGCTCCAAAATCAAATCTCTAGGACATGTCTTAAATGAGCAACCCCAGATTATATTTTCTTCCATCCACATTTTCTGCCTCCCTTTCTTTTAAATCATCTCCTCTCTTTTAGTTCAACAAATGGAGCTTAGATGACAAAGAGAAATCAAAATAATTGGCTACTTATTTGCTCCTAGTGCATTGTTTCTCATAGCGCCTGCTTAGAATCATCTGGGGTGTGTGCAGCATGTGTTAAAACTACCTATACCTATCTAGAGGAGAGAGAGAGAGAGAGAGAGAGAGAGAGAGAGAGAGAGAGAGAGAGAGAGAGAGAGAGAGAGAGAATTCAGCATCTACTTTAAATGAACCACAACTTCATGAAAGTACTGTAAATTGTTTGGCCACAACTCTAGCTAAAATCGTGCAACATGATAAAAGTTACAGGCAACCTGTCAATTGGGAAGATACAGATCACAGTGAAGATAACACCATAGTCAAGGAGCAGATATTGTATCTTCCCAGTGTGAGTGAGGAGGAAACTCACTCCTTGGCATTGTCATCAAACTATAATAATAAAAGCATAATATGCTAATTAGACTGGACAGCTGAACAACCTTCCAGACATCATTCCTAATGTCCTTCCTTCCGGATAAAGCCACAGGGGCTGAGGCAGAGGCGGTTAGGGGTGATCAGGCAGGTAGGCAAGTGGTTAGGGGCGATTAGGTAGGCAGGCAAAATGGTTAGGGGTGATAAGACAGGCAGGTAGAGTGATTAGGGGTGATCAGGCAGGGTGATCAGGAAGGCAAGCAGAGGCAATTAGGGATGATCAGGCAGGCAGAGGGGTCAGGGGCAATCAGGCAAGCAGGCTAGCAGTTAGGACAATCAGGCAGGCAGGCAGAGGAAGTTAGGGGTAATCAGGTAGGCAGGTAAGCAGTTAGGGGCAATCAAGCAGGCAGGCAAGCAGTTAGAGGTGATAAGGCAGGCAGGCAGGTGAGCAGTTAGGAGCCAGCAATCCTGAATTGCAAGAGGGTACAGGCCTGGCTGAGGGACCCCTCCCATCCACTGTGCACAAATTTTGTGCACTGGGCCTCTAGTATTATATACAAACAAAAAGGCCCTGTACCCAACAGAGTTACATAAAAAGACCAAATGGTAATATATTTTTTCTTTTAAAAATGTCTAACATGACTTCTTGTTCAATATCTGTGATTATCAAATAGTGTTTTCTTTATTTGTTGATGTTACTTTTTTAAGAGCTATAACAATATAAAAATAACTAATAATAAGCTATATTATTTTATGAGAATAAAGATTCCTGGTCCTTTTACCATGTTACTAACATAGAGTTATTTGGCTGGAGCCAAGGAATATCATTGTTAACAAGTTCCTTGGGTGCATCTTTACACATCAGACCTTGAGAACTTTACCATCGAGCAAAAAGCAAGCAGCGAAGCCTCTCACACCACAGCCATAGTTCTTATCTTTACCCAGATAAGAACTTGTTCAACTACTGCTATTGGCCCAGTGACATTGAAAATGTTATAGTGAAAGTGGCTACAAAAAAATTCATAATCCATGGTCTGTACCATTAAACACCAAATAACCTGATGGAAATGAAAAATACTTACCCACTTAAAAATATACTAGACAATATAACCAAGCACTAGACTGAATGCTAAATACAAAAGACCAGGCAGCATGGCCATGTGATATAAAGACTATAACACCATTTACATAAGGTCTTTTAAAAGTACATTTCCTTATGTGTTATCTCATTTGACACATTAATTCTATGATATTGAGATTTACATGGTTTCCCATTTTCGAGATTAAAAAGTTGAGAATAAGGGAAGGGAATTTATTATTTTTATGTTTCAGTTAGCAAGTGGCTGGTTTTCTGACTTTTAGTTCCATGTTCCATATTCCTTTTAAGGGAAAGATCGATGTGGAGAATAGAAAAATCTCTGACTCATGCTACCTTTGTCTATTTCAGCTGCTAAACAAGATACCACAAATGGGGTAGCTTAAACACCAAACATTTCTCACAGTTTGAAGGCTGCAAGTCTAAGATCATGGTCTCATTTTGGTAAAGGCCCTCTTCTGGGGAGTAGATGCCTCCCTGTATTCTCACATGGGGCCTGGGAATCTCTTGGGTTACTCCCATCCTGAGGGCTCTGTCTTCATGATCTAATCACCCCAAAGCTCCCACCTCATAATATCATCTTATTGGGCACTAGGATTTCAACATATGAATTTGGGGAGGACATGAACTTTCAAGCCATAACACATGCAAACAAAGGTAATAGAAACTCAAGAAAATATATTTATGTACAAAGAACTTCTAGGACTAGAAATGTGCAAACCAGCTCTGACTATGCACTTATTCTTAGGCATAATTGAGGGGCTGTGTGAATTCAGCCTTAACCTCATTTATATAAATTCCCCAATGTTTCAATGCTAGTATCTTATTCTTATCTTCACTTCAATGGTCTTTCAAATTTGGGTAGTTAAATGCATATAAACTTGAAATGTGGTTATTTGCAGTTTAGGTGTCTTCATGTATTGATTTCATTGTCTACCTGCTCATTTTTCATCTTCTCCGCCACTGTTCTAGATCATCTGCATATATCCCAAAAAGGATGTTGTATTCACTAATAATTCATTCTTGATTACCTGTTTCTGTCCTTGTTGCAAATAAAACCCAAGAGCAGGAATCATGGAGAATCATATTACTGGCAGGTATTTGGGGCTCTGATTGCATAGGTAATACTAAGACTACCTCCTGCTTCTCTTACCAATGCACTAGGTGACATGGAGTCATACTTTGAATCGTTTCAGATAAGGAAGCCACCCTTACACAAGTTCAAAATTTGCTACTGACAAGATAGATTATAACCAGTCAAAGGCTTAACTTAAGGAGATGGGAGGTCCCATCATACATATTATGTTAGGCCAGAGATGGTCCCTAAAATATCCCATGTCATATCCCTGTCACCTCATGGGGCAAAATAAGTAATTAATAATCTTGAAACGTGAAACCCTGGATTACCAGGTGGGCCCTAAACATGATCACGTGTACCCTTGTAAGAATGAGTTTGAGAGACACACACACACATGAAGGAGGAGACACACAACAGAGACCAAGGGGATGTGATGACAAAGTTAGAGGTTGGAGTCATGCAGCCACAAGTCAAGGAATGCAGACAGCCATCAAACCTGGACGATTCTCCCCTAGAGCCCTACAGGGAGGACAGCGCTGCTGACACTTCATTTGGACTTCTGTCCTCCAGAACTGTGGAAGAATAGATTTCAGTCTTTTTAAACCACCCAGTTTGTGGTAAAATTTTTAAGCCAGTGGTCTGAGGAAGCTAATACACATTTATTATGGAACTGTGTCCCCTAATAAATATCCTTTTGAAGTTCCTATTTAATGTCCAAATTGCTGCTCTGCTCTTCAGGCCAACACTTTGACAAGTTTACGCAGGTTATATAATATTGATCCGGCTTTACCACAATTTCCCTAAGAGCATCTGTTTGTGATACCATGAAGTGTTTTTTACATCTTTGCAGGAGAAATCAAAAGGGGGAAATTCCCTTCCATAAAAAAAATAAAAAAATAAAAAACACTACTTTCACCAAAGACTGTACTTAAAACCACTGCCATACACTGCAGCCACAGCCATGTGGTTTCACACTGTTACCGAGGATACTTGCTTTTAAATAATGGCTCTCTCTTTCTCTCTCCAAGTTTTGTTATTCCATACTATAATACACTGCTAACCTTCTACCAGAATATTTAAGATATGAGCCATTCACCAACATGTAATACCAAAAAGTATATATATTAGAATTCTGATGTAGGTTCAG